GCGAATTACACTTAGTATGAATTCTGTTATAATACGATAATACGTGAATTCAAATATTACTTACCAAAACTATATCAATACGATTAATAATTCGTCGAATACATCATAACTTCAATTATCCCGAAAGCTAATTACTTGGATGACCTTTTTATTTTCGCCTTTAAAGGCAAATAAAATTAAGCTTCTAGTTAATTTATTTAAGTATTTATTTTTTTTTCATTAATTTAAATCTACCTTTATGGCATTCAACTTTAGTGGGATCTTTGCATTAATGAACATTTCCTGAATCTCCGAAACGTCCAGTTAGGATATTAATGCTTTCTCATCTAGCGGACACTCCTAATAATTAAACCCAGGGTCTCATAAATGTCCTCAGTTCCTATTTTTAAAGAATATTAAAATAATTCGAACTCTGCTATAACGGACTTTAAGGGATCGAAAACTTAATTTTCTGTATGTCCCATCTGATAATAAATAAAACGGATCATACCACAAAATAAAAATAGATTAAAGAATTAAAAAAATGTACTGATTTGCATAGTCTCTTCACCCAAAAGAAATGAATAATAACTCCAAATTAAAATAATAATAATAATAATATTAAGAATTAATTACAATTATCACTACTCACAATTAACGAATTGCGTTTCCTTTTTTTTTTTTTTTTTTTTTTTTTTTTTTTTAAGTTTTCACATTACGATAATAATTTAAATAATGGATTACTTGACATTACATACTTGACGCAAATTATTAATTACTTGACATATAATTTGTCACGTTGTAGACCCGTCTTTCCAATTGCATATCTTCTAATATAAGTGTTTATGAATAGAATTTGTCCAGATAATGTTTACGATTTCTTTGAATGGTGAACATTTCAGCAATATTTCTTCAGCATCCTTACAATGCAGCCCCACCAGCGACCGAGCGGTTGAATCGCTGAACACTGATATTTCGGACCGAGTTTCGAGCCCTGACAAACAGGCTGTCGATTTCGTGGTTTTACTCATGTGTAACGTGTATACGAGCAAGTTTCTCTTAGAAATACTCTACGTAGCATCCCTCCCCTTATTCATATAGCCCTCGAGAGCGTTGCCGTAATTAAATAAACCGAACCTAAACTAATCAGCATTCTTGTACTTGACCTATTTAAACGTTTTCCTCATATCCAAATTTTTTTCTTTAAAAGTAGATTTTTCTACATGGTACCAAATAGAAGAAAGTAGAGAATACGGGAGGTGACGAAAATTGTCTCTTATTACTTTGTTTTCAGTTAACCCTCTGATTCGGGGGTATTTTTATGTCTGTTACATTCTATTTGTCAGGAAGAATTATATTGGTAGTGGATCGTGGTCACAGAAAGTTTTGGACTCTTCTTTTCCGTTTTCATATCTACACATCTTCTTTAAAATTTCCTTCCATACTCTCACACAATTTTTAGCAATCTCTTTATTCTCACTGGTGACGCTTGAACCGTTTTATCCTTTTTTTATTGGGTGTGACGGAAAAACAATGATCTTTGCTGCTGTCGTTTCTTGAAATAGTACATTTTATTTTACATTCTGAGTTTAAATTCAGTCGAAGCTCAATTGAGTTTGAGGGAAGTTGTAACTCCATCCGAAGCTTCAAGTAAGACAAGGTCCGGTATTTTATTTTATTTTTAATTATTTATCATTAATTTAGTAATTTATTAAACTTTTATTTATCTGTTTCCATTTCAGTGAATATTAATTTTAATTATTTTATGATTTTGATTATTAATTATTCTACTATCTTATTAGATATTTTATTTATTTATTTTTGCGCCTCTTTCCAGACTGATTTTCATAGGGTTTTGGCACTCCTAATTTCAGAAATTAAAGCCCTGGTCGAAAGATATATTTCCAGGAAACTTCGCTTTCAGAAAATCTGATTGGGTGACTATGCGAAGACTACCCAGATGTATATCTTCTTCTTTCTTTCCTACGCGAATTATAGCTGCCAATCATTTTCCCCAGCGCCGTAAATGTTCTGAGTATGCTAAAAATATGCAAAAAATTACTGAGCGCAATATCTACAGCTAGAAATCTCCCATTCAACCTGTGCTGGAGGAAAAGTTTCTTACAGCATCTCTATATATGATAACTCCCTAACATGGAGGGAAGCCGAACCTCTTAAACATGGTGGACTTGAGAATTTTTCAGTTAAAACTTGCAAAAATCCTGAAAAATATCACGAAAAATACAAAATCATTTCAGTTGAAGGTATATCTATCAATCTTTATAACCGTTTTTCATAGGTCTGGAAGATCAGTTTAACCATTTAAAATAACATTACGTGCATAGGAGACTAAAACGCAGTGACGTAGCAGCCCTAATGGGCGAAGGCCTGCAGTGCCCGAAAATCTGCTTTTTTGACCGTGTGCCCCGGGGTGCGTAAGCATATATGCCCTGAACAAGTGGTCAGCTTTTCGCAGGACCCCCAGTGTTTAGTCCCCAAACAAACTTGGTATTTTTATCGACCCAAGTGATGGAAATCAAGGGTGTCCGCCGATAACATCGCGGCAAAAACATCGCGGACGAAAACGTCGCGGAGAAAACAACGCAAGGCGAAAACGTCGTACTACAAAACATCGTGGGAGAAAACATCGCAAAGAGAAAACATCGCAGTTCTAAAACATCGTGATACAAAACATCGTCGTCGAAAATAATGCGGTTCAAAAACTTCGCAGTTTAAAAACATCGTCGTCGAAAATATCGTGGTAAAAAATAAAGTATCTACAAATCATCGCATGACGATAACTTCGCAGACATGCTTTTTTCAGGTTTTAATAATTGTAAATGGATATTCCCATAATGATTTGTGAGCGCAAGATGTAAAGAAGGATAATTTTTACTTTCACATTTTTTATTAACTAATAAATATTTGCCGAAAAAGTAAGAAGGAATCTTAAGCGTAAAAAATTAAATGCAAATTATAGATTATACTTTTTATGAAAAATTACCAGTGAAAACTTTATAAAAATGATTTATTAATGGCCTTTGTTAGTTAACTATGTCGGTTTAAAATTCTATTAAGTGCTATAAGTTGCATTAATTTTCTATGCTTAAGTTTCCTTTTTATTTTCTCAGCAAAAATTTATTAATTAATAAAAATATGAAAGTAAAAATTATCCTTCTTTCCATCTTGCGCTCACAAATCATTATGGGAATATCCATTTACAGTCATTAAAATATGTCTGAAAAAAGCATGTCTGCGATGTTATCGTCATGCGATGATTTGTAGATACTTTATTTTTTACCGCGATATTTTCGACGACGATGTTTTTTAAACTGCAAAGTTTTTGAACCGCTTTATTTTCTTCGACGATGTTTTGTACCACGATGTTTTCTCTTTGCGATGTTTTCTCCCACGATGTTTTGTAGCACGACGTTTTTGCCTTGCGTTCTTTTCTCCGCGACGTTTTCGTCTGCGATGTTTTTGCCGCGATGTTTTCGCCTGTAACCAAATCAAGGGATGAAAGGCTGAGTCGATCTTACCCAACCCGGAAATCGAACCCCGGACCTGTGGTGCTGCTGCGCGATGCGCTAGCCACTGCGCCACCGGGCCTCGTATAGAAGGTTCGACGTGGCCAAAAAAGGTTCTTCGTTGTATCCGGAGGATTGATATAAACCGGATTCGCTATAGCGAGGTTTGACTGTAATTTAAATTAACATATTTACATAAATTTAGATAAATTCTTTGGATATAAAAGGATAAAAATAAGGTTATATGTTTCGTTTTGGAACCTATTTAATAATAATTACATTTTTTTTTTAGCTGAAATAGAGATGAATTACGTATTTAATCGAACGAAAAATAATTTCCTTGATTAAATTTTCCGAAAAAATTGTTCTTAGTATTTTGTTCTATCACAATAAAAAATAATTTTTGTACTGTTTTACTTAGCTTGATTTCACTGTTTATATGTTAGTTCAAATCTTCAATCGAATTCTTAAAATTTTGCACACAGATAATACAATATTACATATACAGTTTTCTTCAGTTACAGATTCCTCAAGATATTGAATTTTTCTCACATATCCTTGCTTAGTAATAAACCGAATCAATCAAATTTAAATCTTTGCACTATATAGAGATTGGAAAATAGTCCTCAAAGTGAAGGCTTTTCAGAATCCCTAATATAATTTACTAAATTTTGAGAGTCCTTCGAAAATCAGACAAAATATTTTTCCCCGTGAGGCTCCTAACAATAATGGACTTTGAAATCTAAATTTTAAGCAGATCTTAATTTAAAGTGATTTTAAATCAAACAAAAGTGTGAATGAATTGTATGTAATCTTACAACATCAGAAAGATTAGATTTTGCTAGATTTGCCATATGACGAATTTTGTTGTAAAACTGAGCAGGAGAAATAGTTTATGTACATTTGAGAAGTCAGTGATTTTCTTGTTTATTATTTTCTTCCTTTTTGTGTTCTAAAAATATATGAAACAAAATATATACAAAAAACTTTCTAAGTTATACAGTTAAATTCAATAAGATTAATTTTTATACGATAGAAACACTCAAAGGTTATGCACAGTTCTAAATGCTAGTTATTCATGTAATATCTGTAAATCTAACAATACGCACTAATAGAGAAGTTTCTATAAACGGTGGGTCCAACAGTGGCCTAGAAATAATGGCGCTAAACACTGATAATCCGGTCTGGGATTTCAATCCTGGCGAACAGGCTGGTGCGTTTTCGTAGTTTTCTCCATGTCTCAATGTGAATAGGACCCAGTTTACCTTGGAAAGACCTCCACGAAGGCATTTATCACCTTAGTCCTCTAGTGCTTTGTATTATTCAAATAGACCAAACCAAACCATAGTTTGTCTCCACCTGTATAGTAATATGAATTACACAGCTAGGTATCTAGCTCACCAACCAGTTATTGACTCAAGGAAAGTAAATATGGATATATTCTAGATATGTCACAAATACAAACTTAATCGAAAAAATAAAATTCTTAAATACCAGAGTAGTCAAACAGTACCATCTGTCAGCTGACCAAGTGACGTTACTTGACTGCACTAAAGCTTGGGAAGTCTTTGCATCTTACCCCAATCACTTGGCTGGCATAAGAGCAGAATAACAAAGTCCAAACTTACTTAATATGTCTCTTTTTCCTTCAACAGCATTGTGCATATAAACTCAGTTCTTACTTCTATGTTTCTAACTGCATAAGCACCAAGCAGTCACGTATTTGCATTACCATAAATATATAATCAAAATGCATTCGCGAACCGTGTAAAATTGCTTCTGGAGCCAGACACGGACCTCAGACAATTACTCTAAGCATTGCATGTGTCAAATTTTTTCCGAACTTTCAGGGTGCAATGCCAAAATGATAGAACAAGGACTTCATATATAATTTAATATTTTTTAATGACTATAAATAACCTTTATTTATATTGCATTTAGTAAAATTTGGGAATGACGTCCACGGTTAATTTAAAATGACGGTTAGTCCAACAGCAGTTAAAAAGTCACATAAAACCGAAATATTTCATATTATAATTAATAAAAAAATTATAAAATAACCCATATTTGTATTATGCCTTATAAGGTATTTTACTACTATTTATCACTTCCTTCTTCCAGGATGCTTTCTTGGTGTAACGGCAGCACACTCGGCGCGTATTCGAGTCCTGGCAAAGGCTAAGGTTCGAGTCCTGGCAAAGGCATTGCACACTCTTCACCTCCACTTCTTCAGAAAACCTAATGACTCTACAAAAGGCCCCGAACTAAAAGGTGGTGAACAATAATTCGTCGCCTTCAGGATTTAGCGATTGGATCCCCTAATCCCTAGCCGCCCTTTAAAAGGGGAAGTATATAAGGTATTTTCTTCCTCCTTTCTGCAGGCCTTCGTGGTGTAACGGTAGCACATTCGGCACGTACTCGAGTGGTCCAGTTTCGAGTCTAAGTGCATTGCTCACTTTTCCTGTCTTCTCCTTCAAAAGAAAAAAAAAAAAAAAAAAAAAAAAACCTAATGATTCAACAACCTACATTTGTAAGCAATTTAATTTCAGAATATATGCATTTGGTTATGCAAATTTAATCAAGATTTAAAACAAGAACGCACCTCAAAACAGAAAGAACAATATTTTCTGTTCCTATTATTTTTGAATTTCTGTAAGAATCAATGAGAAACATAACATGAATGCTTGTATACTTAATTTATTATGATTCTGCAATTTTTATTTAAACAAAATAATAATAAAAAATATTAAAAAATTCTGAAAGGTTTCAGATTTTAAATTACGTCCAAAGGGGCGTTTTATTAGCATTTTGTCTGTTACCTTTATTTATTAAATATCACGTTCTTCGCACATAAACCATAAAATTCATTTCAAGAACAATATCGCAAAATAGTTTTAAATTAAGCATATCTTTAGAATTTCTGGTACAGAGTCTCGCGCGTTTGGGAATAAAAATGTTTTTTCTGTGCAATGTTGCCACTGCTCGCTTTGAAAGCCTTGATTTTGTTAGCCAAAAATTCATTAAAGTTTTACAAAATATGAAATCGATAATAAAACAAATTCTAAATTTCAAATTTGGGCTTCCACATGCCCATTACGTCATTCAAAATTCGATGGCTCTATGTACCGTTGTTTTATCTAACTGCGAGAAATATACATACATTTATTCAGATTTTTCATTATTTAATTTCTTCAAATATAATGCAGGACTCTAACATTTGGTGGCAACAGTTTGAAAAGTGGAAAGGATATTTAGAGTGATTCAACGGAAAATCGAAACGCAATCCTTCAGGGATAAAGCACCTTTGGACTAAAAATATGAAAGGTTTCAGATTTTAAATTACGTCCAAAGAGGCGTTTTTTTTTAACATTTTATGTGTTACCTTTGTTTATTAAATAGCATGTTCTTCGCACTTAAACCAAAAAATCCAGTTCAAGGAGCGATATCGCAAAATAATATTTAATTGAGCATATCTTTAGAATTTCCGATACACAGTCTCACGCGCTGGAGATAAAAATGTTTTTTCTGTGCAACGTTGCCATTGCTCGCTTTGAAATCCTTGAGTTTGTTAATCAAAAATTCTTTAAAATAATAAATCGATAATAAAACAAATTCCTAATTCCAAATTTGGGCTTCCAGATGCCCATTTTTTTTCTGCTTTAAGAAATTTTCTCTTTACAGGTTTCTTCAGGTGCCACTTTGAAAAACAGGCTGTTTGACTTTTATTTCATATGTATCTTTCTTCTACTTAAATAAGGAAGTCCTGCTTCATGCATGGATTATTGCACATTTGATGATACGTCTTGTACTCTTTGGCGGCGTTTATTTATTTAAGAGGCTTCCCGCCAAAGCGATCGCTTCTAAGAAATCTGTCAACCAATAAGTAAAAGCAACAGAGTAGCCCACGCGATGACTCTCCGTTAGTAACACAGAAAATGAACCAGCGAAATAGGGGCAATAGCTCATATTCCACTGATCTTATTTCCATCCATTGGCAGCAGGAGAGTAAGCCAATAATAATTGCAAAAATAAATACAGAAAATAAAAAGATAAAGAAAAATAACGGAAAACGTGTCCTTCGCAAAGTTTCAACAGAACTGACAGGAGAAATTTTGTTAAGTTGCAGCTGCTTGTGCAATTACATTTCCGTTGGTAATACGTTCTGGAATATAAAACAGGTTTAGAAATGATCAAGAGTAATGAGGCGAGGCAGACGAAAAATTTTTAAGTTATCTCTATAATGTTTTAGAAAAAACTTGAAGTATCAGAATTTAATAATTGAATTTAGAAAGTTAGTTAATTCTTGGCTTTTTCGGCTTTCTTAAGATGACAGTTTTTATGAAAACGTGTATAACTTTGGAAAAACTACAAAAGATAATAAGATTTTTTAAAAAAAATCTGAATGCTTTCAGATTTTACATTACGTCCCCAAAAGGGCGTTTTATTTTAACGTTTTGTGTGTCGTAACATTTATTTATTAAATGTGTTCTTCGCACTTATACCAAAAAATTAATTTCAACAGCAATATCGCAAAATAATTTTTAAATTAGCATAGCTTTAGAATTTCCGATACACAATCTCGTTCGCTGGAGATATTTTTTTTTTTTTTTTTTTTTTTTTACAATACAGTGTTGCCAATGTTCGCTTTCAAATCGTTGAGTTTGTTAATCAAAAATTCGTTAAAGTTTTAGAGAATATGAAATAGATAATAAAAGTAAATTCGGGCTTCCAAGATGCCCATATTCGAGTGGAAACGTACGTTATTCAAACTTTGATAGCTCTACGTACCGTTGTTTTATAACAATGCGAGAAACATACATACATTTATGCAGATTCTTCATTATTTAATTTCTTTAAATGTAACACAGGGCTCTAATATTTGGTGTCAACAATTTAAAAGCGAACCGACATTTATAGTAAATCAACGCAAAATGCTAAAACGAAATTAGTTGTCTTTCTGGTCTAACGACTTTTCGCTAAAAAAAAAATTATTCTCTCATTCTTGGCTTCTTTTTCCGTGACGTTTTTATAGTGAAGCAAAAGTCTCAATTCCGTACGGCACGAGCTATGACGGATGTCATCTTCGCGGTGTATAGTATATGAAAGTTTACAGATGAAAAAGTCAATTATAATGTTACATCAAATTAAGTCAATTATAATGTCACTCTAGATACTATATGCCGAGGCGAGGGGAAAGTCCTCTCCTGTGGTTTGATGGTAGGGAAGATGGCTGGGAGAGAATCGGACCCCCCCCCCCAGCGGTACTGTCCCTCAAAACTGGGGTGGAAGCAGACGTTCAACACCTCCTTGAGTCTAGGAAGTACATGAACAAGAAACAGTAAGACTTCCAATTAAGTGGTTATAAATTTTCCTCATTTTCCAGCTCCTCAAGGTTATAATTTTTTTCATTAATATTAGTCTTTACTGTGTCTTCTTGACAGTTCAAATCATTGCTCATAAACAACTTTTACGTAGCATTTCCTTATTTGCTCTTTCACTGCGTTTAATTAGAACTTAATTAATATACGGGTTTTTTTGACCTTCTCTCCAAACTTCATATATTTCAATTATGAAGAACATGTATATATATTCTTCTGTTATCGCTCTTCAGAGTAACTTCCAGTGGAGAGGTGTCTGTGCACCGGGTAGGTTGGCTGAACGCCCTACCCCATGCAGAATAATTAGTAACTGCAAATTGTTTCTCAAAAATAACGTAAAAAATTCATAATTTTTTTATTAATTTTTAGAGGGTTTCAAACAGCAAAAATTCTCATTGGAATAAAATTTATTTTTATTTTTTTTAAAATTGATTTAAATACATTGATTCATTGATATTAAAATTGATTGATATTAAAATTGATTTAAATATTGATTGATATTTTAAAATTAAATTTAATAAATAAAATTTATTTAAATTTTTAAATTATACTTTATTCTCATGGGAATAAAATTATAACCTATTCTCGTGGGCAAAAATTCTCAGGGAATAAAACATCATCAGCGCTCGATGAGGCTGTGCCGGAAATTCTAAAGATACTCAAATTCTAAAGATACTTAGTTTTTAAATACTTCTAGCACAATGTGGCGTTAGCCCAAATGCTCTCAAGTGTGTATGTGTCTGAAATGAAAACAACGTCCGTTTGGGCGTAATATAAAATCTGAAAGACTTCAGATTTTTTTCTTTATAGTTTACATTTTCTCTCTTTTTATTATTAACGTTGAAGGGTTTATATTTATTTTAACTAACATTTATTTTAAGTTTAAGCTATCTTTCCTGTCAAGCCTTTACTTTACCCTGGAATTGCCAATGCCAGAGTATGTAAATTTTAGTAGAACGCGCAAAGTATTCAAATTTTCAGCGGAAGTAATTTTGAGTTAAATAGAAGGGAAACGAGTTTCGTAAGGTGTGCTTTCTTTGCTTCACGAGCGTGGAAGGTGGCTAGGTAGAAATTGAAGAACCCGCGCGTTTCGGCCTGTGTGCTTGCCTCGGCAGTTAGTTGAATCTTTCAACTTAATATTCAGAAAGTTTGCTGAAATATCAGCGGTATCTTAGAACGCGGTTAGGTTAGTTACGTTTATAGAGAGCCTCGTAGGTAGTGACTTGTTATTTATTCATTTTTTTGTACTTTCTTATTTTTATTTAACCGCCGGGTCGGCGTAGTTTGTGAGCGTCAAGTGCACGCATCTGTAACTTTCTAAAGTTGAATAAAAAGGGAGTTAAACCCTTCTCAAGAGTTTGTGTACTTTCCAGTTCATAGCAGTCACTACTATTGTTGCGTGCAGGTTGGGGCCGCGCAACACATTACATTGGCGCCCGAACACTTTTTCGAACTGAAATGGCCGAAAACTGGATGGAAGCTGCGGGACAAGTCCAACAACAAGAAATGGCAAGCCAATTGGAAGGATTTGGATACCTGGTCCAGACGATGAGAGCGTCAATCAAGCCAAACGTCAATTTCGACGGAAAAAATTCGGTGGCGATATTTCTAGAAGGCCTCGAAAATCACTTCCAGCTCTACCCTGTGCCTGAAAGACAAAAAGTTGCCATCGCCACATCTGCACTAAGAGGACAGGCCTCGCTATGGTGGAAGAATATAGGCAAATTTTTATTAGGGGAATTCGGAGGCCAGACATATACCTTTGAAAATTTCAAAAAATCGTTATTAAAGGCCTTCCCCATAGTGAAAGACCGAGCAAAGCTAGAAGCCGAACTATATAGTTTTTATCAACGGAATATAGAAGAGTTGACGGACTTTATTCTGCGAAAAATTAAGCTGACGGATATGCTGTATGGGAAGAAACCCGACGCGGAGATTATTGAAATAATCTTACCAAGATTGCTACCTGCTGTTCAAGATTACTTCGAAATTAGAAACCCAAGCACATTGCAGGAACTCTTCGAATTGGCGGTCAAGTTCCAAAATCGCAGAATAGCGGGAAAAAGCTAGAGGGGCATCGTATTCTCAAAGGTCTCCGAAGGCAATCTTCAAATGAGCAGACCAGAA